AAAAACAAAAAACCCCCACTTCCCCTCATCCAATTTATGAGTTTTTAGGGATTTAAAAATCGGGGACGAACCCCAGAAAATAATTTATAGTTTTCCCGAAGCATTGAGAACAACACCTTTCAAATGAACCAACGCCCCTCGCAATTAGTACAGTGGTTGATTCACAATTTCATTCTATTTTTCAAATTAAATATTAAGATAACTGTTCCTTTTCATTATACATGATTTTTTTTTTAGGGTACATAAAGAAAATTCACAGAAAAATTCAATAGAGACCGTTGGTTTCTTTTCCTTGAAAAAATAAAACATGAGTAAAAACTTACAAGGATATCTCAACAAGTAAATTTCACCATATTATATGTTGACTGATGAATTTCTCTTTGGAGGGAACGCAAAAACCAGTGTGAAAAGTACATGTATTTTACTTCCTTAGAAAGTGGCGGTCGAGCCGAGCCCGCTTTCGGTCGAAAATTGGACAGAAAAACACAAAACGCTCATCCGAGCATATGATTGGAAAATTCTTCCTCGTGATGCGGTATGTGGTTGAATCATCGCAGCACATCTCTGACCAAGTGCCTCTGTCCCTCTTTATTCTATGAGCTCTCATAAAGACCGTGAGCATTGGAGATCCGCTTCATTGCTCCGCTAGAACATGGTGATCAATTAATCGATTTGGTTCAGTTCGGTTTGGCAACTAAACTAACTGGAAGTAACAAGCTGATAATACTGCACTCATGTTGTTTCTCACTCGTACCGATCAGTTCGCCTTCAATATTTCGACAGGCAACGTGAGCGGTTTGGGAGCAGTAATAGTTGCCCGCACCATTTCGGCCACGTTCACTTGCCCAAGTAGCAGTGATTGCGATAAATAGCGATTCTATCGGTTGATCATCGCGATTATATCGGTTGATCATCGCGATTATATCGGTTGCAATATTATCGAATAAAAAATTGCTACTCATGGCGAGTAAATTGCTATGCATCGCAATTTTTTTTCGATAAAATCGCGATCAATATTCGTCGATAAAATCTAAATTAAATCGCCGTTTATCGTGATTTTTGTTTCGAAAATATCGCGATAAATTGCCGAGCGATAAAATCCAGATTTTATTGCAACAAAATCGAGGATAATCGCTCAGAAGTTGATGATTCTAGCGATTTTATCGCCAATAAAATCGCGATGTATCGTAATTTTTCCGTTGAAAAATGCTACTTGGGTTGGTTTGTTTATAGCTGTGGCAGCTTAATACTTGACTCACATTATTCCTAACTAATTCCGACCAGTGCGCCTTCAATATCTCGACAGGCAACGTGATCGGCTTGGGAGAAGTAACAGTTGCTCGCCTCATTTCGGCCACTCATTCGGGCCACTCAATAGGTAAGTACTTCATTGCCTGCTTTTGGAGAGTATTCGCTGTTTTAGCATTACCTACCAATTTCAAATTAGGCGCTGATGCTTAAAAAGAGAAAGTTGATCTTGAGAGAGTTGTATCGGTGCAAAAAAATTAAAAAGTAGGCTGCCAAGTTTTCGTTATGGAAAAACCTTGGTAAACAAAACGTATCTTGAGAACTTGAGATATTTTTATTTCTGCAGATTTATTTCACACTTAGGAAAGGTTGGAGGGGTTACTCCGGTCTGGGAATTTTTCACCCTATATATCGTCATATCTATAAGTCATATCGATTTGAAATTTCGGTTACTGGTAAGCACGTGTGAAACTAAGATTTTCCTGAATTTTCGTTAAACATGGTGCATAGTGCATATTTACCCCTTAATACACGATTAAGTAAATTTGAAGAGACCCCCCTGTAACAACCATTTTTCGGTCTGAGAGTGAGCTAGAGACCTATGCAATTTGTTTTTAAGTATCAAGAAATGCTCCAATTATTATCTAACAGAGTCGGATTTTTTTTCCTTTCTTTTTTTTTAAGTAGGTAGTTTTTGGACGTTTTTTTCAGATGAATTTTTCTCCAAATTTTTTTGGTTCTTATTAAAATACTTAATGATTAATGCGGAAGATGAAAATTCCGGTTCTATTATTATCCAACCGATTTGATTACTGTTATCTAGAGCATACAAATCTAGTCAACAAAACTCTAGGTCTTTAGCTCAATTGGGACCTGAGAAATGGTCGCCAAGAAGTGAAAAAACATGCAGAAAACTGATTTTTCAGAAGTGCAATATTAGTAAATGTGATTGAAAAAGTGCAAAGTGCAAGTGCATCATTTTGCAAGGGATCATCCCCTTTATCGAATTTTTTCAAGTCTTTGTTATCATGATAATTACAGAGTGGATACATAATCTTCTTGAGCAGACTCTGTCATATAAAATTAGTGGGGAAAAATCCAAAACACACTTTTGGGCCATTTTTAGACCGGAGTACTCCCTTAACTTGTCCTGAACTTTGACAGTTATCAGAAACTCTGTGAGACAATTGATAATCTGTTCACCAGACGCAAAACGGAGAACGGTTAACAAAGTAATACATGAGCTATGAGAGAGGAGTTTAATCAAAATAAATTCATTTAACAATTAGATGGTCAACTGCAAACATTGATAAAACATTATGTATACAAAAAGACAAACTCATCTCGGTGACAGACACTTAAATCTCATTGGCTCTCAATAAATTATGTTCTTTGAAGAAACAGTTGTTTCCTAACTTTATTAAACTGGGTATTGTGGCGACAGAAACAAGCAAACATTTAATTGTTTCTTTTTTATTTTCATTGATTTAATGTAAATGAACTTTTTGCACAATAAGAGGAATCCATTTTAAACAGTGAAACTGGAACGGAAGATCCTTCAAGAGTAAGAGATGCATCTGGGCAGTACATCACAAAATCAGGTCAAAAAGAAACAAATGTTTTGTAACCTGTTCTTATTACATGAGACAGGTGTCTCTCTTCCCTATGTGGTGTCTTTTTAACAGTTGGGAATTGATAACTCATTATACAATGACATTGTTATGTAAGGATTTATTTTGCATCTCACCAGAGAGACAAAATATAATGAATGAATAAGTTAATAGTTTAAAATATTGGAAAGAGCTTAAGACACTGAGCAACCCCAAAATAATTACATACATGTCTTAATCTAGAAATCAAAACAGAAAAAACAACGATAATAGAGAAAAGAAGAAGAAAAAAGGTGAACAGAGTGCACTATAAGGTGATATAACTATGCATTCGAATAGAAAAGAATGAGAGTGCTTTCACAAATCAGGTTCAGAGGACTTTGAAGAGATGCTTAGTTGGCTTACACTAGTTTTTATTCTGTTAGTGCACTGGCACCGACAGGATAAAAAACAATCCATTAATTATTCCAGAACTGGGGTGAGCATTATTGTGAACTTGGGATCAATCTGCCTAAAATTAAAATTCAGTTTTTTTCGGGAGACTGATTCTTGCCACCCGGCAAAGGTAACCTTTTGATTTTCAAACATTAATGATCCAACTGTAAGGCATCTTTTTTGAAAAGAATAAAATGAAACTTTTTAATAAAATCTTCATACCTTCAAATTCAATTCAATTTAAATGGGTAAGTATTTTTTTTTCCCTTTTCCATCTACTTGCGTAAAACAAAAGCTAATCATCACACAAGGAGATGGAAAGTCTGTCTGAAATTCGTCGTATCACCATCTGAAAATAGCAGTGCTAGAAGGGCATTAAAGGGCAAAAATCTCTTTTTACTCTTAATTTTTCCTTGTATTTTAATTCCTTTAAAATGTTAACTTCAATAAATCTTACGAAATATTCAGACATGGAATGTGTGTACTTGTCAGTAACTTCGAAAATTCAGTAATCAAGTCCTTTAAAATGGCTGTCAAAAAATGAAGAAAAATGTGCACATAAAAATATATACTTCAATTCTCAAAACTATAATTTTTTTTTTGGGGGGGGGGGAGGGGTAAACTTTCGACAGAACTTTGAACAGTATTCCCTAAAACTGATGGGAGAAAGAAATTTAAGAATAATGATTCTTCCAAACATAAGTTGAATACTTGTATTGCTATGAATCAAATAAAAGGGGACTCCATCAGTGGTTGAGCCAGATGCATTTAGAGGCAAATTTAAGTACACCCATTGAAAAAATAGTTACTTAAAAAAGTGAATTTGTGAGACACAGTCCTGCAAAAACTAGAGATGCTAACGTCACAACACAAATGGAATTAGCCTGGGTCATGGCAACAAATAAACATGTGAAGAGGCTTGATGAAAGTCTCATGCAATGTTCTAACATTACCAATAAATTAAGATGACATGTGTAAGACAATAATACTTCTACATCTCTACAGAGTCATTTAATAAGTTGGTTGAGGTGAACGCAAGCATAATCTTCACATTTACTCTACAACTTTAAAAAAATATGAATAGGGGACGAGTAACTAATCAACAACATCAAAAATAGAAAAATAGAGAGGATTCTTAATTTTCGGGATAAAAAAAATAATACTTATAAAAATTAATTTGGGACTGAAATAGAAGTTTTTTAGAAAGAATTGGCATGAGTGGCATAGTGGTCCCTTGAAAAAACAAGGAAGGCAGGTTTCAAAGCTTCATGATGCGCTTAGAAAAGAAGGGGAAGTAAAAAATCTGCGAAGAGGAAGCAGTATCTGCTACAGTTATCTTGGTAAAAGAAGTTAAGGATGATAAACATTGATGTGCCAAGGATGAAATGTGAGGAGAAAAACTAATGAGATCAAAATAGGTCATGCCCAAAAAAAAAAAAAAAAAAAAGATTGAAAAAAGTGATAAACTATAGGTAACAAATTTTCATAGCAATCATCCCTCGATATCATTGAAATAAAACATTGAGAGAGTAGGTACATTAATCATACAGCTTTATGCTTTATTAGATTGAAAGCCTTGGGTATTGTGCGCAAGGGAAGTTGAAGACAAAACCAAGGTTTAGCAAAACACTTTGAATGTAAATGTGAAAGAGAACAAAATCTTCAATGAAGAGGGTTCTACTTCATTAAGAACTTCTGTGTCATCACAACCTGGATAGTGAAAAGAACATTACAACCGGAAGTTACAGGAGGAGAACATCAACTCAAAGACTATGATAATGCACACAGAATAACTAGTGCATTTCAGTACCTCTACCATATGACCCAACGTTCTGTAAATCTGAGTGCAGCTTATCAATACCGCTTGCTTGAAAAAGAATTATTATTTATTCATTCAAATGAAAATTTTGTTGAATATTTTTCATGGAAATGAACGACGTCATTTTAGCTGTACAGCCGGAACAAGGCAATCCTTCACTTATACAGAAATTGATGAGCAAGTACATAAATGTGATGTCAACATACATAAACAAACGGCATTTCCTGCTGCAAAGATCATGAAAAGTGCGACATCAAATAGATCAAGCACTCTCTTCATTTTCATATAAACGATCCAACATTGCATTGTGAACAAAATGTGCTTCTCAGCAAACAGGACATCATAAGATCTTAAAACACTCAGATATTCCAGCAGTACTTTTTATACAATTTGATAATTACACAATAATTACACTTGTGCTAGCGGTCAGTGATATTAAACTATAATGATCAGATTTTTAGAATTACCTTACTTTACATGACTAGATAGAAGACAATGGATGGATGGATAGAATAACTCATAAATTCTGGAAAAATATCATATTGTGAAGTATGAGCCCGAAATCCATTTACTTAATTCCTTAAGGAAACAAATAGATCCTTACAGCATGATTAAATCCTTGAGTTTGCAGAGGGGAGTCAATTAGTAAAGACTTGTTTTTTTCATAATCCTCAAAAATTCTTCTTGGCTAATTTCTCCATCACCGTCGCGGTCAGCTTCATCTATCATTTCCTGGAAATATGCAATGGAGGATGAAATTTTAAGTTTGTAAAGAAATGCATGAATGCAGCTAAGGCAGTATTTTTGGCAAATTTTCAGCTTCATATTTCAATACATATAGCATTTATTAGAAGCTGGCATCTCACTTTTTTTTTGGATGACAACTGTTCACCTATTAGCTGGCTACTATGCCTGCTTGGAGGGGCCTACTCCAAACCTCATTTCTGCAACCTGGTATCAGCCATTCTCTGCAAAGGTCATACTGTACCAACTGTTTGGTCATGATATCGTTCACAATCAGACTAGGAATTAGACGAGGTATGAAATAGAGGAAAACGTCACATTATTATTTTCAAAATCTCTCACCGTTTACACGACAGGAAGTTTGTAAACTGGGATTTTGTTTGTAATTTAATCTAAAGTTTCTGAAAATTTCAAGGAAAAATATTCATAACTTTTTTCAAAAATGAATATTTTCTGAGAGGAAATTTGACAGCAATAGAATGCGTAGACAGGTTTATTCCTTAGCACAGCAGGATAGCAAGACTAATATACTGATTCTGTTGAGGGAATCCAAGGTAATGTTCTATATTTTAAATAAGTCACTAATTGATACATTTCTTAATGACTTTTTGAAGGTTGTGAATTTAATTTCACTAGCAGACTGATTGAAATTGATTGGCAAAGCAGTAGACAAAGAAGACATAGGGAGTATGGAGCGACCCTATTGGTTGAAATGGGTGATTCTTATAGACTAAGGAGGTAAATGATGGACTAACCATAGGATATCTTGTGGGTTGTCGTTAGTAAGTCATTACCTACCTCCCATGTCCAAAGCAACCGCTCGCTTCCACCAATAGGCTCCTTTCATATATGCCTTTTGTCTTCTTTGTCTATCAATTTCAACAATCAGCCCGCAGGAGATATAGGAAAGAATACTGTGTACCTATGCAACTTGACATCACATACCAAGGTAAACACATGTTGTGAATCTCATTTTCCCTATGGATTCAATTTCCTCATTTTTTCATCTATGACTGATTCTAGAGAGGCATTTTCCTCTTTTCTTTATGAATGTCAGAAAGAGGAACATATTTCCTCTTAAAATCCAATGATTAATTTTAAAGAATGACATAAATTGACGACATAACATTTACCTGTAATTCTTCATCAGTTAGGGTTTCTCCTAGTTCTTTAGCAACACGCTTTAAGTTTTTGAAAGATATCTTCCCTGTCTCATCATCATCAAAGAGTTTGAATGCTTTGATTATCTCCTCATCGGAATCTTTCTCAGCAATCTTGGAAGTCATCAATGAGAGAAACTCCCGGTATGTGATAAAACCTGTGAGAACAAAGAGGGAGCTATTTTTAAAGAAGATGCACAAAACAATCCAAAAATTTCGGAAGTAAATGGCTAAATTTTTTATAGTCAACCCTCCTAACAGGATGGGCTACTGAATCTAGTTGCTTAGCTTACCAAACTGATCTCTTTTCCGATAAAAACTGAAAATTCAGGAGGATGATGGAGAGGTCCACTCAATGTTTGAGATGGGGTATTCATGACGGTTTTTTTTCATGAGGAATTTTGAAGAGATTAGGTAAGTTTCTTTTTAAAGCTCATCAGTAGTAGGTTACAAGAGTATTCCAAGGGAGTGTATCTAAATTATAATTTTTTTTTTTTTTTTTGTAGTTCTTCCGGGAGAAAAAGTGGCGAATCTTATCGAAGATATGACAATTTAAGCATCTTGTTCCGCCGGCTGTGTAAACAAAGTCGGGGGTTTCGATTTCCATCCGTTTCGCGCTACCACCCCAACATGGGGTGGGTTTCGGCCAGATGGTCATCTAGATGGTTAAACTATCATATGTTGGTTTAGGCTCTAATTTAGAAAGTTGCTCTGATCAGGAGCTGGCTAGGGAGATCGGGAACGAGGTCGAGCCGACCAACTAAACCAAACTCACGGCTGCGTGTCTGCCCGGATAATGCCGAAATCATCCCTCTAAATTATTATCTTTTTTTTTTTTTATTTTTTTTTTTTTTTTTTTTTTTTTTTTTATTTTTTTTTTTTTTTAAAAATCAAAGGTGAGTGAGAGAAAACTTACTTTGCAGTGGAAACATGATGAGTAATTTCTTAAGAATTTTAATTTGATGCCAAGCTTGTACCTCTGCGATATTTGTTGCCATTTTTACAAATTGTTCGAGTTTTTTTTATTAGAATTGAGACTTGTATTGTGTATTAAATAGATTCTAACTAATTTTAAGGCATTTGGAAATCCACCAAATGCCCAAATATTAGTACCTTTTGTTGTCGACTATCAAACATACGTATTTCTGATGGTTCAAAAATGAAAAAAGGTTCTGTAAGACTTTGGGGGAAAAATATTTGATTAAATGAGCAAAAAACAGACTATAACATGATAAAAAATTTTCACCTGTTTGTTTTTTGTCGACTTCTGAAAGCATCTTCTTAATTTCTTCTTTTTTAGGCTCAAAACCAAGAGCCCTTATGGCAACCTGAAACAAAAAGGCAAAATTTAATTTTTAAAGGTAACTTGGTTGTCAATCGGAATTGGAAATTCACAGCGGTTCTTCCAAAAGTGTGTAATGCAACAACTGCAGGTTTGAGAGAATAAAAAACAAAATTGAAATGCCATCTTGGTCTACCTCTAGACGATATAATTAGAGTTCTGACAAAACCATGTTGAGCTGATTCATTAAAAAATATACAGAGCTACAACTTTTTGCAAATGACAAATTAAGCAACTGCTTGTAAAATTTTCTAAAATTTTCTCCCCCAAAAGGAGAAAAGTAAATGAATTATTTATTAAAAAGCCTTAACAAAAGGAAAAACCCATGACAGAATGGAGGCTCCTGTCAATAATGTGACTTGCAGAGACAGTTTATCAAGGAAATAGCTGAGACCAGTTACGTCAGTCAGCCTTGTTGACCCAAAGCATTTTTCGCAATAAATTCAAGAATTCTGGATTTTTCTTTTCCCAACGTTTCAATCCATTATTTGCGTTCAGCTTGGCTTGTTTTGGATAGATGGCAGACGCATTTCAAGATTTGAAAACTAAAGAGCAAGTTCGGAATAAGAGGGCTGCTTTTTTCATTGGCTAAGATCAGAGTTGGGGAAAGCCTCCATTTCGGGAAAATTTTTTCAAAGTCTGCTTCTATTAAAGACTAAACAGCTAGAGTAAAAAACAATTGCATGTCACTTACCTTCAGTTCTTTCGTTTCTATTTTCCCACTACCTTCTTTATCAAACAAATCAAAAGCCTCTTTGATGTCTTGTTTCTGTTCCTCAGTTAGCTCAAACTTCGGTTGCAGCAATTTCTTCTTTGTTCCGCTGATGGACATGATCAAACAGACTGAAAACCAAGAACACAGAATCGTTAAAAGTTAACTTACAGCACAAAAAAATATGTCTGGGGAAAAAAATGAAAAAAGAAGAATTTCAATAAAAGCCTTTGATCAAATTATATGACATCCGATGGACGCACCCAGAACACAAACACAGGTCATGAAAAACAGAATCTGTGTACAATTAAAGAATTGGTCCCAGGAGGGCATTTGTACAGGGTACCCTGTTTAAAGGGAAAATGCATTAGGGTTATTCATTTCAATTACATCAAGTGCTATGTTAGTGATGCGGCAAACAGGGAACATTTATCTTTTGCTCACATAATTATCAGACTGAAATCTAAGACAATTTTGATTGCAAACTGCTTTTTCCTCCTGACATGATAAAATTCAAGTTCACTCGAAAAATCCCTCTGCAGGCACAATGCAGCTTCTTTTTAAATGTGAGCAAGACAATATTTGAAAAATTTGATTGCATTTTCAGATTTAGGTTTGTCGTTGATTGACTACATGAGTACTTAGAGAATTGACTGGACATTTAGATGTAAAAAAGAGAAAATATTTTATTGGGTAACTGAACTCATCAATGCTCTCAGTAACTACTTTGAATATCAACTAACAACTTTTTGCAACTTCACCTCTCTTGTTCTGTAACATCGCAAGATTTAAAATGACACTTTACATTTAACCCACTGGCTTCATTTTATCAGTATACTCGTCAGCGCGCGCCTGGGACATAGCTCAGTTGACGAGTTGATTCGCGCTATCTGTCAGATTTCTCTGTCACTTTTCAGTTTTCCAATAGATGGCATCTCAAGTGTAGCAAAACCAACAGATGGCGTGATTTAACTCTTCAGCTGAGATATGTCCTACGCGCGCACTGATGAGTTTACTCGTCATATGAGGCAAATGGGTTAAAAGCAATGAGAGAGCATCGATAGGGCTCACACCATATAAATTTACTCACTTTCAGACTGCAACAGAAGATGCACCATCTTGATTCTTGCATTTACTTTTAATGCAACTTGAAGTGCTGTCAATCTTCTATCGCAGTCTAAAATTGCGTGAACTTACTTGGCACCTACTCTGCTTTAGAGGTAAGAGAGTTCATCATTGTTGCTCAAAATTTACAAGAGATTCTCATCAGCCATTGATTGGGCAAAAAAATTTATTTTGGAAGATCCTCGAAGTGACTTTTTTTACCATACAAATCTAAAAATTCAATGGGCTCTGGAATTCTGAAATATCCTGATAAAGAGCCATGTCTTTGTAGTGAAACCATCAGTATGCATTGGGAAAATGACTAGGGACATTAATGATTAACAACAAACTTGTGGTGCATTATTCTGAACAGTTAGCGACCCAACTTTACATCCTGTTCTTGGTCTCACTCTCAACCAAGGCGGATAAAGAATGGTGGTCGCATTTCGATTTTGGCTGCCATCTTGAAGCACTGTGACGTCAGGAGGGTACGGCTTTTGCCATGCAATTCGAGGTTGAGCCGACTCCCCCGGCCTCGGCCGGCCCATGTACCCGATACCGTCTGACGTCCAGAGGGTACGAAATGCGATCACCATTCTTTATCCGCCTTGACTCTCAACTATGATTATCTCCCTCATTACTAAGCAAATGTTCATAGTCTCTTTACCAAGGAGAGATGAGGGAATCTAGGCATGCATCTGTTTGACGGTATAGTTTTACTCCATAATTTTATAGATACAAATACAATTAAGTATTATAAGAAGTCCAAGCGACTATTTGGAAGATTTCTTACCACCCGTAAGGAAACGTTTCAAAACACACAGAGTTCAACAGATGATTTTAAAGCCAAGATGGAAGGACAATCTGTAAACAATCGAAAATCACATTGGTTTCCACGGAAATATTGTAATAATTGAGTGGGCTTACAGTACTGCTTAGCTCAATATGGTTACTGTGGTTAGGTGGTATGTTGTGTGTGTGGTGATAGTGTAAATGTTAGGAACACTGATAACAGACAACAGATAAACTTGCAATGTAAATATTGGGAAAGAAGAGGGGGCAGCTGGGCAGCCAACGGGTGCGGGGGCACGTATTCGATTCAACAACTTTCTTGGTAGGTAGGCAATCTGCTTGACAACCTTGACAGGGGAGAGGGAAAAAGATGAGCGCCAAAAATTCGAATGTTCACCAGGAAATCAAAGCAAAGCAGGCAATCTGTAGTAATGGCTCTCATAAATGAGTTAACGCCTGTTGGGTATCTTTTAAAATTAAATTTCGATTGAGGCATTAACTAAAAAATGACAAGCGCGTAGCTTCCTCAGAACACTCAGAACTAGACAATCGTGTCAAGGAAAAAGGGGATTAAGGGGGGGAAAAAGACCCGAACCCGAGGGTCCACCTTCTCATTTGAGTATCTAACAACTTAGAGGATTTTTGGAACGACTTGAATTACGAGAAAGTTCAAAATTTGAATTTTAAGTAATATAATTGAGATACCTAACTTATGAGTGAAGAAAATAATTACATACAATTGAAATTAAACGTTGCGTGTATATGCATTCGACTTCATTCATTGTTTATTTTTCATGATCAGCTGATATTGACTTTTGGAGGGGGAAAATCAAGGTTGCCACCCGAATTTCCATGTGCACATGCTGAAAACTTCCCCAAAATTATTTCTCTCGTTGTTATTTCCGTGCTTCGCCCTTTCTTTCTCTTATCGCTGTGTTGCATGTCGGATTAATATGTGTTAGTCTTTCGAAGTTTTGAAACGTGTTAATTCTCTTAATAAAATAACACCATTAGTGTTCTTTCATCACCATCACGTTGCTCTAGCACCTTGTCGTTGTTCATGCGTTGTTCCCATTGAGTGCGAATTTTCTAGTCCGATGAAAACGCAGACGTAGAGGTCATTTGCATTCATTTGCTCCGATCAGTTTTTCGATGGTGATAATGGTCATTAGTAGCCCTCTGGAGTGAAAGAGTTACGAATTACTCACCACGAGTTACGGAAAATTACTCGTTACGAAACTTTCCAAAGTTCAGTGTCTTTGTCGTCTGAATCGCCGGTTTAGGAAACAGTTGGCAATATAATCGCATCGAACCTGATTCATCGCCATGTTTACTTTTGTTTATCTAACTCTCCCGAAATGTTAAAAATATACCTAAATTTCCATTAATTTTTTGTGGAGTGGAATAATATAACTTATTCAAACTGGATAGGCTACCAGAATATCTCCGCGATACCGTGGATTGGTTTATGGGGTAAGTGTTCTACTTTATCCTTCCTCCTGTAACTCCCCTCACTCTTATCATGAAATATTTGATTTTTCTGTCCTCCAAAAGCTTGACACGGTATCCACACTTTATCTCTCAGCTGGAAGCACTTTCAGTCTGTAGTCACTTATGTTACTCTTATGTAAAAAGCTTTGCTCCTGTAACTTTGCATCACAAGACAAGCTCAAGTGATGCTCTTAGCAAGAGCCTTCCATGATGATGTTTCGTTGATTCGGAATGTTTCCCTGGATGGTAGATCTATCATGAGCTCAGGTCTTTTACGGCTCAGTGGAGAAGCCTATAGTGGTGATAATCTTGCTGATGTTCACCAGCTTGTATCCTCTGCCCGTGCAGAACTTCAAGGAGCTGACCAACTCGCTAAGACTGTGCTTCTGTGAAGCCTTACCTATCAACCGAAAATATGTTGCTTACTTACAAAACATCATTGCATAATTTTACAAACATATTGTCAACTATCATTTGTTTTGTTTTTAAGTTGCACCTTCGTGCTTTTGAATGCAGAAATACAATTTTCACTTTTTCACATATTACGTAAGCTTGTACTGTCCTAGAGCAAAAGCTAAGTACCTATGATAAGAGCCCCCTATTCTTAGACTCTCCATGAGCTAACGCTAGCGGTGATTCTACATCGGGACGAATGTCAATCTCCAATTAGCTCTGAATTAGCACCACTCTACCGATTCATACATGCAGTCATATGGCACCATTTATGAGTGGTGACTTGAAAAATACTTGAATTTTGTCTCAACGTACTATGACTCTCCTCTATCAAGTATTATATAAAGTTATGTGGCACTTATTTTGAAACACAATGCCTAAAGAAATGTCTGTCTAAGGAACATTTCCTTTCGATCATTACCTCATCTATAAGTTTATGAGGTCAATTTAGGGTCTGTAGGTGTGAAAGAGAGTGAAGTAGTGTGAAACCCTGAGTTTTCTACAAGGTGAGCAATACTGTAACTAGTCCATTCTTGTCATGTTCTTGTCAGGGGATGGTAACAACCTGTGCTTTCCACATATTGGTGATCTGTGGCAGGGAATGCTCCTGCAATGGAGAATTTTGCAACTCTTTTACTCTGGAAAATGGAGAAAAATCTTAGCTTTTCGCTTCTTTCAAATTACCGATGCTTATGAATGTTGATAATATGCCTGCATTGAAAATGTGGAAATCGAGCGCACTGCAACGTTGACAATTTTACATTAAAAAACCCCCTTATTCAATTTTGTTTCTTTTCCGTATCTTGTCGCATCAAGAACAATCATTCCTAGAATCCAAGGTCCTCCAAGTTGGAGGGAATCGCTCTTGGCTGTGGCTGATGAAAGAACACAGAAAAATCCGGTCAGTGTAAATGCATGGGCAGAGAGAAGCCCGAGTACGGAACTGTATGGGGGTACCGTTTGCGGGTATGAAAATAAGCCCGAGTACGGAACTTTTTCCGAGAGGACCTAGTCATTGCCGGAGGCTCCAGCAAAGTTCGAGTCTGAATCCCAATTCTCCATTGAATTGAATAGAATTCCTCCAACAACATCCTTGGAACAAAGTTCGGTGCTTCGAAAAAGCGATTACTGATAACATCTAAAGCCATTAAAAGTAATGGATTTGAGCCCTTTTCCATAGATCTGAGAAAAGGATTGATCTTTATATGACTAAATATGAAAAAGAGATAAAATTGAATAAGGGGGTTTTTTAATGTAAAATTGTCAATATTGCAGCACAAATATTCAAGCTCCAGAGTATTTTCTATGATACTCAGGTGAAATATGCTTAATTTTCTATAGTATTACAAAACTGCCGGAAAAATATATATTTTCCGCTATACCGAGATGGCCAATCAGTAAAATTTGTTATGTTTCGAAAAAACCTCTGGAGTAATCTCAAATTTTTTTAATGATCACGGAAATTTGCATTCAAATGTTTGATGGATCAACTCTAGTGAAAGTGGACACCAAGCACCCACCTATTAAAACTTTAGAGAAAACGTGTGGTATGAAGCAGAAAACAAAGAAATCTTAGATTTTTGTCAGTCTCAAATTACTCGCAATTATGAAGGAAGGCATTATGCCCACATCATTAGGTAAATGCAAAAATCAAACGTACAACTATTCCACCTCCGGAGTAAGAATGCCGTATCACCGAACAATAAAGGAAAATCTTGCCTTTTCACCTGTCTAAGATTACTGTTGTTTATGAATGCTGCAATACTTATGTGGTTATTAAATGAGTTCGATTAAGCTAGCAGCTATATGCTTACACCGGTGGTCGAATAGTTACCTCGTTACGCCTGCCCCAAATGAATCATAATATCTATACTTCTGCTCGCGATGAAAAGCGTATTTATCACAGATTGCAACGTTTCAGACCTCTCTTTCTGTTTTATATCAATCAATTTCTTTTGAAAAGCCTCGCACTGATATTCTGAAAATTTTTCAGTAATTTTCCAAAAAGATTTCGAACACAATAGCTTCTTGCATCCTTTTTGATTTTGTTTTAAATTAATAACTGTCCGAGTCTCTGAAATGTTGAAATTAATGGCACCTGGACCTACTTTTGCGGTCATTTTAGCGGCGTGCAAACCTAGACAAGGAGAGCCCACGGGACCCGAGTAATTGCTGGAGTGCGGCGCGCCTTCAATCCGGCTGGCAGCAACATGCTTACACTCGTGGTCGAATAGTCGTATCACTGCGCCTGCCGTGAATGAGTCCAAATATCCATTCCTGCACGCGTACGAGAGCGTATTTAGCTCCGACTGCAACGTTGCAGACCTCAACTAATGTGTTATTTTTAATCATTCTTCTTACGAAAGGCAAAAACAGTTTTTCTAAAGAATTTCCGCGGATTTTCTGCAATCGCCGGAATTTTTGACGCAATATTTTCGCTCGTTTAATACCTCATTTCACATACATTTTAGCGGCGCGCCAGCCAGGGAAATCTTACGGGACGGGACTCGAGCCATTGTTTGAGTGTGGCGCGCCTTCAATTCTGCTGGCAGCAACATGCGTACACCCATGATGGAATAGTTGTGTCATTACGCCTGCCGTAAATGTGTTCAAAAATTCATTTTTGCACGCGAAAGGAAGCGTATTTATCTCCGTTAGCTACGTTACAGATCTCTGTTCGTCTTGAATTTGTAATCAGTATTTTTTAAGAAGAAGCTTCCCACCGTGTTTTTTACTAATGTCCGAGAATATCCGAATCTGTTTCAAATAAAATCTTAAATAATTTCGACGCGGCTTTTCTGGACATTTGTCTGAGTGGCTTTTGATATTCGGTCTCCCCTGACGTGACTCCAAATTTTTTGACTCGATTATTTGATCCCTTTACTTTTGCTAATAATAATGCTGAAGGGAACATAATGATTTTTAATGAGAATTATTTCTCAATCAAAAAATGTCCATTTTACCCAGATAGGTATACATCCTAACACCCAATCATCTTCAGCCCAATTTTTTTCAGACTTTTTTTAAGATGATCGGATTGCAAACTCACAGACAGAATAGGTTTCTATCTCAGTCTTATGATGATAAGGTGGCAAGGACAATTCGAATTTAGCCCCTGGTTAGCGCTGCTGTTTTAGGTCATCTGTAGGTTTTGAGGGTCTAAAGCGGACGAAATCCTTTTTTAAATGGGTCTGTACCTAATGTACCGTACCTAACCGTACGGTTTGTGATTCGTTCGAAAAAGATCGCATACTCCTGAAAATTGATTAAGGGTAAAGGAGGACTTTCTCAAGTTAAATTGTATAGGTACATGTGGATCCAGAATAGTATTTATAAATAGCTTTCTTTCAGTGATTACTGAAATTAATTACGGGTGATTTCAAATAACAGATGCATAGAAAAAGGTAAAATTCAATCTGCATCGGACCGTACGCAGTATTTTAGCAAACATTTTCAGCTGGAAGTTTATGTATGTATTGAGACTTTGCACGTTGCTCAATATATCAACTTGGTTGCTGGAGTCAATTTGTTAATGTGTGGGTAGGCAGAATCTTCAACGACGTCAGACTTTTAACGCAAGCAATTTCAGATTGTTTTAAAAAAGCACATAATGAGCCGAATAAATTTGTCATCTGAACAGATAATCAAAGTTGGTCGAACAACCAACATGCCTTATGGAGAGCAGGATGAAATCTATCCTCTCTGAGGCAAGGAACTCAAGGAGCAAATTTCTTCAAAGGAAAGTCCCCCATTTAAAATAATTGTTCACATATGTATCGTAAAACTGAGGAAGAATGACGGTAAATTCACTTTTGGCTCGACGTATTCTTACTGTGAATAAGGAAGAAGGATATACCCCGCCCCCCTTAAAAAAAAATCGAAAAACAAGAGTGTCTAGCATTAAGATTTTCCCGATTTCATCAGATTTGAGGAAAAATCGGTCGTAAAATCAGGAATTGATAAAAGTCGGCCGTCCGATTGGGTTCTTTTATCAAGCTAGTTTTGTGAAGTTACATTCGCCTTGCGTGAAGTTATGATTTGATCAGGATTTGGAAAAATCATGAAATCTGAATTTAGCAGTCAGAAGTCAAGAAAAATCAGGATTCCCCAAAATGAAAAATACTAGACACCACGGAAACACCATCTCGAACGCACCAATAAAACGTAAACCTGACACACCTGCTGGTATAAATGGCATCTGGGTTTTAGGAAAGAAAGGAAAATAAAAAAAAAAATCGATTCTCGTTTCAGTCTTGTTCCACACATTTTCCGATTGTTCCCATGTTTGCTCAACGTATGCGCAGTGATTGCTCATTTTGCCACACACATTGCTCTCAAGGTTGCGTACTGAACATTGCATATCAGGATAAAATTCTCTCCACCCGTACAACAAAATTTGCATGCTCATTTAAAATTTAGCTCTGTGCATTTAGTGGTGGGATTGTCAAAATGACCGTGGATCGTGAATACGCATTTTATTATTTGAAATAAAAAACAAGATGTATCAGTGTTTTGTGCATGTGTTCAAC